AAAGACTGCACTCCAGTGGATGAGTAGACTGATTCTGCAAGGGGCATTTGAGGAACACCCAAAAGCAATTAGTACCGTTGCTGGAGGCAGCTTCCTCAGTCTCCTTAATGGTATGACTGGCTCTGCCCAAAGTAACAATCTACTTTGTAGGTGTTGGGCAAAAATGAAACCGCAGACATCTGCAGCCATAATCTTCATCTTCCTAAATACATATATAGACTATATATTAAACATATGTTTGCATTTCTCCTGAAGGATGGATGGATCTGTGCTTTATTCCTTTTACAACATTACCGGTCTTGGGTAGAGCTAACAGAACAGTCTCATACTGTAAAGTAAAGGTAAAGGTTCCCCCGCACATGCGTGCTAGTCATTCCCANGCGACCAAAACTGAATGCAGTATTCCAAGTGTGGCCTTACCAAGGCCTTATAAAGGGGTATTAACACTTCATGTGATCTTGATTCTATCCCTCTGTTTATGCAGCCTAGAACTGTGTTGGCTTTTTTGGCAGCTGCTGCACACGGCTGGCTCCTATTTAAGTGACTGTCCACTAGGACTCCAAGATCCCTCTCACAGTTACTACTATTGAGCAAGGTACCACCTATACTGTACCTGTACCTGATAACTTCATTGTCTTAAACTAGAGGTAGTCCTCAACTTACAACAGTTCCCTTAGTAACCGATCATGTGGGTCACAAACGATGATCAAGTGACCCAGGGGTGAAATCAACTTACCTTTGCTACCTGTTTGCAAATGTGAGTGCGCGCAGAGCGTCAAAAACAGACATTGTGGTGTCCGGGCGGGTGAGCGGAGCCTCCCTCCGCCAGCGCTACCGGTTCGCTCGAACCAGATAGAAACAGCTGAATTGCACCACTAACATGACACTAGAACACTGCAATTGTCATAAATATGAGCCAGTTGCCAAGCATCTGTATTTTGATCATGCGACCATAGAGATACTGCAGCGATTTTAAGTGTGAAAAAAGGTCATAAGTATTTTTTTTGATGCCGTTGTAACTTCAAATGATCACTAAATGAGCTGTTGTAAGGACCAGCTATATATATTTTTTAAGAAATAAATTTTCATTAATACTTTTTTCAGCTTTATCCAAACTTGTCCAACTTTATCCATGCTTGTTTGTGGTTTGTTTGCTTTAAAATAAATGCATAGAAACTGGGTTCATGAAGAAAATTAGTCTACTGAATCTAATTTATGATGCTTTCATGAAGCCATGAACCTCACCATACTGACAAACAAAACTGAATTAGATTGTTCCAGAAGTTGCCATTTTCTTATTTGCGGTCATATTGTTGTGTGAAACCAACATTTACACTCATTCCATGTGCATTTTGTTTTGAAACATGTACACAGTAATCACAAAAGAATGATTATGTTAGGAACCAGTGAATTCCTTTACTGTGCTGCATCCAACATTTCTATTATTAATTGTAGTACATTTTGTAGCATTTTACTTTTTTTAAAAAAATGGAACTTGCTAGTTAATTAGTGAACTTCTAATTAATAGATGCTGAAGCAGCCCCTGCTGTCATGCTTCTCAACAGAACTTGTGCAAGCCAATTTCCATTGCTAATACTGCTCAGTACAATAGTATTGGTAATAGTGCCAGGGATGTATCTACATAAAATGTATAATCAGATAAAGATTTAAAGGAAAAAAATCCACTTTTTAAACTTGGTTATCAAATGTATTTAAAAGCTGTCAGAAAACAGCAGATATATTTCCACTGCTAGTCCAAGGAAGATTTCATAGATAAATCATTCAGGGATATGGTTTAGATCCAACACGCTCATTCTTTCTAGCTGTGCTTAAAACTGAAGTCATGGTTCTTGCGCCTTCATATGTTGCTTTACCTGCACTTTCTCCTTAAATTTAATTTTGAATTTTAATGAATTTTTCATCTGCTCACACTGCATATGCTCTATTTATTTCCAAAAGCACTTCAAAATTAAACATGGCTTTTTATAATTTGAAGTTTACTTTTAGGGATACAGCATATTTAATCAGCTGTTCAAATATCCTTTAGGCAGGGAACATTCCCACCCTGCTTTCAATAAATGATCTCTCCTAATAAAAAGAAACTGCATGTGGGTAAGTCCACACTGATTGCATTAACGAATTATTTGATATAAGTATGTCACTGATTGAAACTTTTTTTTCTCTAGGTGATTAGCAAAGTTAAAATAAATAGTGGAAATTAGTGCAGCTGATATTGGATATTATGCTGAAGATTTTTTCCCCCATAAAGTTCTCTGGCATTTACATTTTAATATTGCTTTCATCTCATGGTGTTAAAGAAGTTATTTGAAGGCCTTGACAATTTTAGTCAGAGGTTCTATCATGAGGGGGGGGGGATGCCAGCTCTGGCCATAAAGAAAATTAAACTTTGATGTCTACTTCTGAGTTGTTGGGGTTTTTTTGGTTTACTCTGAAATCTGGAGTTATAGCCCCACTCCAAAAAAGCAGGGGAATACTAAGGAAGGGACAGGCAGGAATTCATTAAAGTTAGGGTGTCTGAAAAGTTGAAGCGAATAACATCTTTTTTTAGTGCCCTAAATTGATTAAAGAAACCAGAACAGGCATGTGACAAAATATGCACAATGGCATCATTTATGTACATACTCGGTATATTGTTACAGGTATTTGGGCATAATTATATAATCACAGTATTTACATGATGATGGTCCTCTAGTTTGCTGTTAACACCTCCAGCCTTTGTTGTGGCCCAGCAGGAGCCGTTGGAGCTGCCATCAGACTCCAACAGCGAGGGGTCCTGTGAGTCGGCTCTGGAGGATGTGGAGAACCTTGGACAGGGTTCTGACTCTGAGCTGGGCGCAGAGAGGCTGGTTGGCCACCATGTGGCACCTGAGCATTGGAGCAGTGGGGAGGAGCCAAGGGAGTTGTTCCTGGATGCCCGGCACCGAAGAGCTGATAGGCGTAAGGTTGCGCAGTTACAAGAGATAATTGCACTCCTCTCAAGACTATAAAAGGACTGCTTGTGCACACGCCCCGTTGCAGGAGTCAACACATTGACTAAAAGTTGGAGAGCTTTTGTGGCTAGCTTGGCAGTCTGGATTGCTGCCAAGGCTTGTCTGTGCTGGATTGCTACCAAGGCTTTTCTGTGCTAGTTTGCTGCCAAGGACCTGTCTGTATATTAATAAATTTTGTATAGTATCTTTGGCTCGGCGTGTTTGGTGTGGGACATGGGGGGTTAGAACAGCCTTGTTCTTAATTGAAGAATTAAGAAGCTGAAGAAGCTTCTTGGATGAGAAGTGAAACATCTTCAAACACAAACCAGAAAGTCCAATTGAAAAGCACTTTTGGGACAACTGTGACCTGGATGACTGAGAATCTGCAATTACAGTCTTTAATTTTCAGTGAAGAGACTTTCATCCTGCATTGCATTGATTCAGGTCAATTAATAGCTGTAGGATTAATATTTGTACTATCAGTATTTTCAAATCTTAAGCTTTGTAGATTTTTTTATCTTTTGTCAAAAGCATAAATAAAAACAGTTTGGGGTTTTTGTTTGTTTGATTTTGATTTCTATAGCCGCCCATCTCAGCAAACGATTATGAGTGGCTTGTTTGTTTTCCGTATTAGTATTTGGGTGGAAGACTATAAGCTACAGTGGGAGGTTTGTAAGAGTGTGTGTGTGTGTATGTATCTATATCTATATCTATCTGTATCTATATAGATATGTGTTCTGTCCCCCCTTCTCCGCTCGTTAAACAGACGACAGGCAAACAACTTAAAAGGAACTCTTTTTATCAGTTCTCAGCTCAGACTGGCAACGAGCCCGAAATAAACCTAATTACAGTCTCTGCCTGAAGATAATAGAATGAAAAACAAATCTTTTTTACGGCAACACCAGTTGAACAAAACGAAAGCAAAGCACTTCTTCCAAAGTCTGTACGAATCAGGGTTACAGAAAAACAAAGCACTTCTCCAAGTGTATCTTACATAAACCATGACTGATGATCAATCAATGTTGAACGAACCAAGGAACGTTGACTCCTGCAACTAGGGCGTGGCACCATCCGTCCTTTTATCCCCAGAATATGCCCCTAACGAGCCCCAGCTGCATAGTTAATCTTGCATCCTGAAAAGACTCACAGAAGACTGCTGCTGAGTCACAACAGATATGTATATATAGATACGTAGAATCTCAGGTGAAGGCAGTAGAAAATCATTTTGGTATGGTTCCCAAGAAAGCAGCATGCATGTATTGATGAACTCATTAAGTCAGAGTTTGTTGCAAAAATCAAATCCAGGAAGTGCACACAGATAACTGATTCAGCAGGCTTCATTTAAATAAGAAACTTCTTTATATACAAGAATATATATATACACAATACCAACAGCAGAGAATAGTTTCAGTTCAGTTCAGATCAGCAGATGAGTCCAGACTAGTTTCACTTTAGAGCTGAGCACAGAGCTAAGCCATGCCCAAACTCCTTGCTTAAGTTTCTGTTTCCAAACAGTCCTCATTGGCTGACTTAGTTGCTATGCCTATTCATTGGCTGACCTTGTCTCTGCCAGTTCATGAATATTCTGACAGTCTTGGAGAACTTTTACTTTACTATCTCATATAATCAGTGTATGCTTAATTCTGGAATTAATTCATAATTCTTACCTACAAACAGCAGAAACAGAAAAACCTGAAATATATTAGAAAGACACAATATATTTAGTGGGAAGCAAAAGTAGCTGCAAACTACAACAAAGAGAATCAGAATAACACCCAGGTTTTTATGTATGGAAAGCAATGCACCAAGATTGAAGTTACTATCCATCTGTATATTTAATTATTTTTATACATTTGTAAATATTAAATACACTGTATTTATAACTTCTGAATAAATTTAAAAAACATTCAGATACAATGCTTCTGGCTGCTACAGTTTTCAGAGAATAAAATCATCTCTTTTTTCCCAAGATAAGCATTTCTCAGCACACTATGTTTTAACTCTCTACAGAGAATGATGAGATCCTCAATTTTCCATATGTTTATCCTGAGCATGGTAGCCGTGGATGTCATTGTTGCTGCTAGCAATTATTACAAGGGGGAAACTTTCAAGAGCCAGTATGATGAGTTCTACCTTGCAGAGGTGAGTTTTACTTTAATTATTGATTTTTATTGAACCAAAGAAATTTCCAACAGTGGGAGCAATTAACCAAGGGAATAACTAGTCTTGAGAAGTTGGGGATGCTCCATCACTGGAGGCTTTTAAAAAGAGACTGGACACCCGTTTGTCTGAAATGATACAGGGTCTCCTGTTCAAGCAAGGGGCTGGACTAGTAGGAGGTCTCTTCCAATTCTATTATTCTATGTTCTATGAAACAAATCAACATTATTGCAGATGCCTTGACCAAGATAAGACTGATTTAATATGATTTAAATTATGATGGGCAATGATGACGGGGCTGGTTGTTTCAAGTTATATCTTTTATATGCAACCATAAAGCTTTTTAACTGATATTGATTTATTATTTGCCATCAAGTTATTTTTGACTTCTAATGGCCACATACCAGAGGTGGGTTCTGGCGATACGCACCAGTATGGGCATACCGGGGCCAGAAATTTGCTGTACTTTTGCATACCCATTCCACGTTGGCTTGACCACACCCCCGCACTGGTACGCTCTCCTGGCCTGCCCGCGTTTGCAAGGTACTTCTCAAAGAGAAGGAAGTGAGGGCGGGGCTTCTTCAGAGGAAGCAGCTGGAAAAGGTATGCATGGGTCGGAGGGGGGGGAATTCAAACTTCATCCTCCTGGTGCAGTGTGGGGCTTTGGGCAAAGGATGGAGGGAGGGGCCCTGGCTCACTCATGTTCTCTCCCTCACTCTCTCCCTCCCTTGTGGAGTTTGATACAACCTGTAGTCAGTGAAGCTGGGCGCCAGTGAGGGCTGGCTTTTTGCATACACACAGAAGTTGGATTGGGTATCTCTCTCCTACCCCCTTCCCTCTCTCACTCCCTCTCAAACACAGTGTGTACACACAGAGAAGTTGGATTGGGTATCTCTCCAAATGGCTTGAAAGCAGCTCCTCAGCCATCCCCCCGCATTCCCTCATTGCCTTCCTCAAACACCTCCCCCATTGTAAATGCAGCATGTAAATGCAGCATGTAAATGCAGTGGGAAATGCCTGGAATGCAATAAACCCCACCCACTCACCTTCTGCTGGCAGGCTGGGGTGAGAGAAGAGGCACAGAAGCTGGAGGGTAGCCAATCAGAACCTTCCGAAAGAATGGGGCTGGGGGAAAGTGTGTGTTCTACAGCATTCCCCTTTGCCTATCTTCTCTCCTCCAGTGGTCTCCTCAGTGCTCACTCATGCTCTCCCTCCCAGTCTGATTTGATTGCAGGCAGAGCCACGTTGCCTTTTCAAACCTATAGTCCAGCAATGGTGAACCTTTTTTGACTCGCGTGCCATAAGGGGGGAGCACAGGGGGGTTGTGTGCAGGCGTGCCGCACCCATAATGCAAGATGCGACCCCCCCAGTGCACATGTGCATATGAGAGGCGCTCCCCCCACATTTTTTGTGTGCTTTTTTCACCCTCCCCAGGCTCCAGAGGCTTTATAGGAGCCTGGGGAGGGCAAAAACAGTCTCCCCGCTCCCCCCCCAGAGGCCCTCCGGAGGCTTCAGAGACCTTCAGGAGGCTTCTCTGAAGCCTCCAAAGGGCTTAAACCAACCCTACAAGCAAACCGTACGTGACTTCCGGTTTACTCGTCGGGTCGTTTTTAGTCCTCCAGAAAGGAGAAGGAGTTTACTAGGGCAAGGCTGCCATGCAAAGGAAGGCAAAGATAGTCCTTGACTTATGACTACAATTGAGCCCGAAATTTTAGTTGCTAAGCAAGAGCGTTTTTAAGTGAGCTTCACCACATTTTACCCAATCCATGACATCATCTGGTGAGTGACATCAAGTTGGCTATTCCCACCCGGTCACATGACTGCCAAGCTACTCCCACCCGGTCACATGACTGCCAAGCTACTCCCACCCAGTCACATGACTGCCAAGCCACTCTCATCCCAGTCACATGATCACCAAGCCACTCCCACCCAAGTCACATGATCACCGAGCCACTCCCACAAAACAGGCCACATCTACAGAATAGGTTCTAAAAAAATTTGAAACCCTCCACTGCCACATACAGTAGATATTCTCCATGATGATCTATCCCTAACCTTTCAAGTTTTGTATTCATCACTACTGTAACTGAGTCTATCCACCTTGCTGCTGGTTATCCTTTTCTTCTCTTTCCTTCTACCTTTTCCAATATTACAGCTTTCTCCTGGTTTTTGCAGAATGTATCTAAAATAGGATAATTTAAGCCCGGTCATTTGTGTCTTGACTGATAACTTTGGGTTGATTTGTTGGATAATCTTATCAATTTATTTTCTTAGCTGTCCACAGTATTCTCATAAATCTTCTTCAATACTAATGTTCAAAGCATATCCATTAACATCAAATGCCACATATATGGATACACCACATTGTATGTATTTAAAAGTGCAGGGGGGGATAACATTGGTTTGTGTTGTTTAGATGTTGATATTTCATTCAAGAAAATGTTTTGCACTAGCTATATATATTTATCTTGCTTTTGACAAAAACCTGCCAACCACCTTTCAAAAAAGGAAAGCGTGCAGGACAAAGAAATTTCCCTTACAATATGGGTTGTTTTAAGACAGATATTGGTAACTATTGTTCTGACCTAGGCTTCCTTAACAAGCATAAAGCAGAGTCTAGGTTCCAGCAAAACCTCTTTTATTTATACAACTGTGAATTCCTTTCATTCAGTCAGCAAGGCTTGGCAAACAGTCTTTCAGAGGAATGTTTATCAACACAAACCTTGTCTCTCTTGGAGAGCTGCCAGATAACTAGTTTCCAAACACAGGGCAAAATAACACTTGGCACAGAGTCTCTTATAATCACAAACAGAACTTTCCTCTCTTGACACAACTGAAGAAATGAATTGTTTCCTGCAAAAGCCACTCTCCTTTCACTCCTCTTTTGTTTCCTATGGGGCGGCAATCATCTCCAAGGTGTGGCTTTACTCCCAAATTGACCCTGCTTTCATAGCAGGGACATGCAGTCACTAGAGGCAGGGGAGGCGTGGCCTCACCAGTCATGAGGAAAAGGAAAGAATTTTAAAGAATTTTTTAAAAATAATTAAAGCCAAGGCGGCGCAGTGGTTAAATGCAGCACTGCAGGCTACTTCAGCTGACTGCAGTTCAGTAGTT